CGGATAACATAGGTCCGTGGATACTTGTCCCAGTCGACGCTCAAGGCCACGGCCGTGCCCAATGGACCAATGACTGGTTACGTGACTCACCCCGAGATAGGTTTCCGTAAGGAAATTTTTATTTATAGCTGCTAGCTTTTTCACTCAGTATTTAAAAATATGTACTAGCTTTCGCCCGCGACTCCGTCCGCGCGGAAAAAAAATAATTCAGTACGTGCCTATGTGTTCTTCTAGACTATGCTCTACGTCTTTGCCAAATTTCATCGAGATCCGTTCGGCAGTTTAGGCTACAAACTCTAACAAACATCCATGCATCAAAACTTTCGCATTTATAATATTAGAAAGATGTCATCCGAGGATTTTTCATTTTCTCAACAAATAAAGAATTATTCATTTCATTCAGGGGTTTTGAAGCTTATTCAAAGCATAGAATAAAATCGTTCCTTTATAACTTCAGAGTATTTTGTTAATTACTCTCTTAATTTATACATCTTCATTGAAAGAAAGTAAGCAGAGTAGTCATAATTTGAATTAGAAAGTAGAACAATAATGGCACGGGCTAAAAGCATCTCTTCAAAACACAATAACAATAGGGTAATAGAGATATCAGAATAAACATTAATGTTTTAATTGAAATTTAATTTTTTGGACATTTAAATTTGTTAAAAAATTTAAAACTAAAGAACTTTTTGTCTATACATAATGATTTAATTTTGTAATTAAAAAAAAGATACGGATGGACCGTATCTTTTTTTTAATTACTCTCTAGTCTCTGACACCCGGTAGGATTCACAACATCAAGGTTACCTGTCAAGTTCATGCAAAAACTCGATTGCATTGCAACAATGTGCGTGGACGAAAATAGCTTATGGTTGTCGCTGAACAAAAACGCTCGTAAATCGTTATTATAGAGGCGGGATGCCACACAAATTAGGCTGCGACACACCTGACGGTATGTTAGTTGAGACTTGTTTGTAAATGGCTTATAGAACTTTATTTCCCATACTCCAATGATACATAAATAATACTATATTGTATCTATATCTATACTAATAAAAAAAGAAAATAGATTTGTATTTTTGTTTATTAAAGTAAGTCAAAAACTATTGAACCGATTTCAAAAAGTCTCACCTTTAAAAAACTACCTTATCACTGAGGTAATATGGGCTTTGTTTTTTAAAATCTGCGTTTACAAAGTCAGGACTACACTCAGTATTTTATACGAGAATATGTTCACTGTGATTTGTAGATTGATCGAAGTAGAGTATTTTAAAAATAATTTAGATAATTGGATTTATTAAAATTCCATACTGTTAAAATCTAACTACTATTATAAATGCGAAAGTTTAGATGGATGGATGTTTGTTGGTGTTTGTAGCCTAAACTGCTGAACGGATTTCGAAGAAATTTAGCATAGTTGAAGATAGTCTGAAAGAAGGCTACTAATGTTTTTTAATTCCACGAGGACGGAGTCGCGGGCGAAAGCTAGTATATAATGTTTTCTTTCAATTCGAATTGCTTAACTAGTTTGGAATAAAGTTTTCGGATCATTTGACAGCGTTGTTTTCGTGTCTAGACTAGCTATTATTATTCTCACGTAAAAATAAACGGTCTACAAACGGAATGCTTATAAATTT